CAAATAACATGAAATATTTATCATAAACTGACTGCGTAAATCCAATATACACATTTTCGAGATTTGTCCTACTACAAATACTTGGCTCATACAGCCAAACTTATTTTTTATGATGACAGCTTTGAAGAGGGACTAAAATGTATTCATGATTTATTAAGTAAACATGGATACCCATCAAAGTTCCTGACGAAATGTATGTTTGGAACTAAACCTAAAGTAATATCACTGACGATACTAAAAAAGTCTTCATTCCTGAAATTATAGTTCAAAAGTGAAATATCTAGCAAAATAGTTGTTCAATGTATTGGAAAAGCTGTAGAGCGTACATTCTCTGTTCAACCTGCCATCAACGAGTTCATGAAATAAAGATAAATTCTTTAATTTCTTTGCCTTGATATATATTTGGCATTTCAAACCCTCTTGTGAAGCTACTTGTATTGTGTGTACAACTAAATAAATGCATCATCATACCTCATGGTTGACCAAAGGACAAGAGAAAGTAATGAGAAACTCGATCTTGTCTCATTTAGTTATTAACAATCATCAAGTCGAAAAAAAAAACATTTGACTTCTTAACTTATTGATAAGATCCCACTGAACTTACCTATGGTTTCACATTTCAATAAACCTAACTTTTATATAATGAAGACATTTCTACAGCCTCTTAATTGAATTAACTCATTATCATCTAAATGGTATTGAATTTCTACTCAATCGTTTAACCTATATATAATGAGAAACTATTTAATAAGAAATATTTCTTAATTCAACTTGTATTTTTAATGTCTCAATGGGAATAATTAAAATGATACTGTTGCACTATTGGTTCTTCATTTATGAAACAATTTGAAATAATAGTGATGTTAGTAAATCATTTTCAGAAAGGAGATTTTCTGTGGATATCATAGCATTTTAATAGTTCAGTTCATGAGTCAATTGAAGCTAGACCACCATGGAAAATCTGGACGCACTGGACGGCCATTTCGTCCCACTACAGGACTCCTCGGCAGTGCGCATCCACGATCCCACCCCACGAGGTTCGAACCCAGGATCTGTCAGGCTTGCACGAGAGCGCCTAACTTCTAGACCACTGAGCCTGCCGGTATCCAACGGTATTATCGTCTAACTTCAACGAATCCACGAAATTGAGAGACACATCCACCATTGTCTTCAATGAGTTACTATCTCACAACAGACCCGACTGAACTCCATTGGTCATTGCTTCTCACTAGAAATCCAGTAAAATATTTATCAAGAATAAATTACAGTAGTTGATATGAAGATTCACTTTAATTATGTATGATCTAGTTCTACTATTATGTAGATAAATAAACGTAAGTAAATGGTATAACATTCGTACCAGGGATATAATGATTGAATGATGAATATCTTTTAACCGCTAATCCACCATTCCATTTAAATAATAATCTGAATATAATTATTATCATAGAATGACACCAATTAAAGAACTGATGAGATTTCAGAGTAGCCTTGACATCTGTTTAGTACTAGTCACCTCTCTATTTCTCTCTCGCGTTTTTTTTTCTAATGCTACTGCAAAAATATAATTTTCTTAATTTAGTTTTTTTTCAATTACCATTTATGATTTGCTAATTGCTATCTACCACCAGCATATATTTGTTGCTTTGATGGTACAATTTCTTGTTTTGTTTTGTTTTGTATAAAAATTCCTGACATAAAAGGGTCATTTAAATGATACATATATGTGTATGTGTTTCTATGTATCAATGTGACACAAGTGACACGATCTATTCAAGATCATTTTTCACATCATAAGTTTATTATTAATAATTATAGTTATTGTTACTATATACGAACATAATTTATATCATTTTGTCAATTTACCGTCACTACTACTAGTACTACTACTTATATTACTAATTCTGTGACCCTAGAATTTGTAAATGATAGTTTAGTATTGCTTTATTTTCATTGTGTATATTTATATCTTCATATGGTGTAAGTCAAAATGACTATTATAATAATTTATTGTTAGTTTATTCTCTCAAAACGAATATCGAATCAATAAAATGGTTCATACAATGGATTATTATCATAAATTGATATCAACTATAGAATGATTGTGGATACAAGGTTTCAAATCTTACCGTAAGGGTAGTGTCAGCTCTCTCAGTATTACAAATAAGTTTTGTTGACAAGTTTTAATTATCCATCCAGTGCTTCTAGGTTTTCAATGATGGTCTAACTTAGAACGGTCCATGATTACAGTGAAGTTCGATAATCCCCACAACCTCATACTGACAATTAGATTAAATTGATACGAAAAATATTAACCTAAATGATGTCGTCTTCCTGTGGTTCTTTCTACTTATACTGACAGATATAACTAGTATATACAGAAATCTGAAGTGGAGTGCCTTCCAGTAAAGGAATGAGAAGACTGTAGTAAAGAGAACAGAAAGGGAAATATAGTAATTTTAATAACAACACAATTAGAAAATTCATGGAGCCTGTTAAGGTCAACTGAAGGAAGATGTTCAAATAATGCACTTAATATATAGTTTTCATATTTTACGAAGGCAATCTGTAATTTCCCACTAAACAACAAATTGGTTTATCCCACCTTAATTCTCGTTCACTACATTCCTATCTCATCCTCTTCGTGTAGAATCTTTTACCTGTGATATAACAGATTGTTCACTTATGGGTTCGCACACTAAGTAAGGTATATGGTATTTGTAGAGATTTTTGGATTTTGTAGTTTACATTGGGGAAATATCAGCTATTATATCCTAATCCTAACTCGTACTTATATTTTATAGTTTTAAATCACTAACTGACTGTAAATAAACATGCATTCAAAACTAGGAAACACTGGACAATTGTTTAATCCGAGTATAGAAATTGTCGACAGTGGCAATTTATGACATCACCATTGGTCGAACTTCGAAACTTCAGGTTTCACACTGATCGCCTAAACTTTAAACCATTGAATTGGTATTAAACTATTAACATTCATGGCTTCAGTCAATTTTTAATAATACACAGTCACAATTCGCTGATATTTATAATATTTATCTCATGGCCAACATGATTCAACTCTATTAATTATGGTTTCTCTTTAAAACCTCTGGAATTAACTTTTGCAGTTATTCACTAATGAGCAAATAATTCTTATTAATATAGAAGATTTATAAAAATAATTGAATCCCACAGTTTTTATCATCAAATTATAAACAGTTGAATTGAAAATTCATACAAAATTGAAGCTGAAACGAATTATTAATAACCGTATCGTAGGTGTATTCAACTTTCGTTATCGATTTGTTCCAGTATCCATCTTCCTAATCTCTAATAATAATGATAATAACACTCTTATTGTATTGATTATTTTCCTAAATCCCCTTTGAAGAGAACTCTAAATGATGTATCCAACTCATTTATATAATTATTGGTTATTTCAATGATAAAATATATCATGGTATGCTCACTACTGACGGTCTCCAAGAGATATTTCCTTGAGTTCTAGTGAGAAGCAGTGACCAATGGAGTTCAATCGGGTCTGTTGTGAGATATTAACTCATTGAAGACAATGGTGAATGTGTCTCTTAATTTCGTGGATTGGTTGAAGTTAGACAATAATACCGTTGGATACCGGCAGGCTCAGTGTTCTGGAAGTTAGGGGCTCTCGTGCGAGACTGACAGATTCTGGGTGGGACGAAACGGCCGTCCAATGCTTCGAGATTTTCCATGATGGTCTAGCTTCAATTGACTCATGAATTCAACCATTAAAATACTGTAATATCCGCAAAACCCCTCTCTGAATATGTCAAATAATCAGATCTGTTTCTCAGTCACCTATTCATAAACAAAGTAGGGCTTAGGAAAGAATGTTTGTTACGTTGAATTTCCATATCACAACAACACGATGAGATTCACTTGATATTGTTTTACTTGAATTTTCCCATTGATGTGGCTATCAGGACTCAGTAGCTAAGTGGATAACGCGATGGCGTTTGAAGCGAACGGTACTGAGTTCGAATCCCAGAGTGAACATCAACTCTGAGATGCAGGTACATCCAGCTGACGAGTCCCGAACAGGACGAAACGCGCGTCCTGGATTCCACTGCTAGCCACTATCCATCTTTGCTTATAACACGACGAGATGCTACTTTTAGTCATGAATCTCTTCAACCTACTTTCTTGGCACATGACAGTTTATCAAGGAATTATGACGTATTCGAGTCAATATAACTCAATTCGGTCATCACAATATACTAAACCAGTCACGACTTCAAGGTAGCACCTAGAACTGGAACCTATAATTTATGTTATAAAAGATTGAGACAATGTAGTCAATATGAGTAAAGAATCAGATAAAGCATAATTAGACAAAGCTGTAAACGAACGTTTTAATCACATCCACCTGCCCTTTGATATGGTGAGCCAATCAGAAGTCTAATAAGAAAGTCAATCGATGGCAATCAGAAGTGACCTAAAGGACAAGTGCATTTCGTTGGCCAAGAAATGTGTCAATTTCCTAAGGATACAGTGGTATATGTATGAATGAGTATTTGCGCATTTTCTTCGGTAGTCCTATATACTTTTTCGCTCACCCTTGTACTCTTGCTCAAGTACTCGGTTTTGGGGTTAGTGCGTAGCACACCATATGTCAGTATCAGATTTTGGATACCACACGTCACAACACCGTTCGTAACCATTTTTCATGTTAGTGAACTGCTTGATCACCCTCTCAGAATCGTATAATACCGTAGTCTTTAATTTTTTTTACAACACAGTTTAATTCTACCCAGACAACTGAAAGCCGGGAAGTACAGAACGATTATTTCATCCTATTATAGGAATTCTTAGTAGTGTGCATTCATGACCCTGCCAGGAATCAAACCCTTCTGGTCCAGCTTTGAGCGCTTAACCTTCAGACCACTGATTTTACACCATTAGACGACATACATGTGTGGAAATGATAACTATTAGTCATGATGTTAATAATACCTATAATGGTTGGGTATAAGTATGAGTTCAACAGTAAGTCAGAATCTGCCTCCAGTTAATATCATGATGTGAAGAAATCTACGATAGAAGTTTAATTTACTGACGAATCAATCAAATTCGAGTTATGGATTTTTTGGAAGTTCCATGGAATTCGAAATCAAATACATCCAACCAATATCTAATTATCAATATACTGGAAATTGATAAAAACTTGAAGAATGAACACCATGATTAATGAATTTTTAGAGGTGACTCAAAGATTTTCGACACTTAAAATTAAAAAGTTTACTACATAGTTACTCCAAACTCCCAACTAATACTCCTTACCCCAATCCGAAATTCCTATTAAAATGTCTAACTTTGACTTTAAATACCGGCATCTTTTGGGATTTTGTACAATAAGTTATTCATTTACATCATCTGTATTTGAACTGGTTAAGAATTGGTTTTTCTTTTTCAAGACCATTTCAAGAATAGGTGAAAGTCGTATACGAAGTAAACATCAATGAAATTTACTTGAATATTAATCTGTTTCTACTTAATATTTGTCTTATTGAATAGTTCTAAAATCTTATCAAAGGATGACATGACTTATCTTTCAAGTTAATTATGCTTGATGTATGCATGGATAACAGTCGACAACACTGATTGTACCGTAAGTAATCTGTCTAATAAACATGAGAACTAAAGTCACAAAAACTTTGTTTTATAAAATTTCAGATCTATCAATCTTGTTTTTATCAAAATAGTCTTCATTTGTCGTATGCATAAAAGTTTCCAAGAGTCAGATTTATTCATATTTTATCAGTTGTTTTTAGGACTTCAGGAAATTCTATTTATCAGCATTCATTCAAACAGTTGGTTGGTTAATAGAAAACATAAAACTATTTACTTTCCATTCTTTTATTAATATGGAAGATCAACTGTTTTTTCTGATCTTTCATAAACTTTAAATTCTTTATGCCTGATTCATTTAAAAATGACTGTTCTCATCAATGTATTGCCTTCGTTTCCTTCATACCCGAGTACAGTCATCAGTACAAATTCACCCTCAAACCTTAATTTGTTTCTTTCAGTTTTATTGTTCTCCAACTTACTTGGTTGATTTGGTAAGACTCAAAGGAACAAGTGTTTCAACCAATATATTTTGATTAGATCATCATGATATGCAAGCCCAGACTGCGACGTCAAGGCACCACTTATAGTCGAGAGGACTTTAACACTACTGATTAAACTTAAGTATCCGAAACAGGATTCAAAGGAATTAACTAACCTTTAAATACATATGGCTTTCAATCACATGGTCTTAAGTTCAAACATCTACTTTATCAGTGGTAGTGTAAATAACACTTCACACTTGTGATGTAGCTGAAAACCGTATACATTAACATGTACTTCCTTCATGGGTTATATTTAAATAAAAGTAGCAATATGCAATTAAAACGATTACCGATGTGAAACAAAAAGACTTAAAAAGATTAAAAATTCAATGGTGTTTTTTTTTGTTGAAATTTTTCTTTTGCAAAATGAATTCTTATGATTGAATAAACAGCTGATAATTAGTTCGCGGTATTATTGATTTTCATGTATACACATATATTTGCACATTACATGTTCATAGTGTGATAGACTGACTTAGATATGTAAACAGACACTAACACATGATAATGCATAGACATGCACATGCACTCAACCCTATGAAAACACGGAGAGATTATAATGTATGAACGAACCAATCAGATATAAGATAACAGGTCTCGGATTTTGGCGCGAAATTCCCTCATCCATTTGGATAAATAATCGTCAACTGTAAATCATAATTCTAATTCCTCATACTGGTTTGTAACCCTCGTTCAATCCTGGTTAGTAGGTGGATATTCTCAAGGTCACTTTAGCGTCTCTTAAAAGTAGTTCATAAATTACGGTCCCACCGAAAAATACAAAAAAATTTCCCATTAAACACAATTATGATTAACCTGTAATTAATAATGGTTATAAAGTTACTAAGGCAAATTCTCTGTTTATAATTTCACAAATAAAAAAGAAAAAATCTTCTCACACCTCAAATTTATTTACGAATACACATTATCTGTGATCTTAACACACTTTTCGTTATACACCATACATCTCATACGCATTAGAGCAAATACTTACTTTAAACATTATTAACATGATTGGATGACCTATTTAGTAGACAGTTGGTCGAAGAATTATACACCTAATTATGTTTGACCATATTTTCTTGAAAATGCTTGAACTAGATTGCTGAGCGAAACGTTAGATTTATTTAAAATTTACAATTGATTGATCACTGGGTGGTGATCAATGTCATGTATGTCAAGTCCTTCTTAGTTCAGATCGAATGCTATCGACCAAGTTGCACTGTGGTCACTAGTCTAGGTGACTTGACATTGCGTGCACTATGCTAAGACAAGATGGTGGTTGGAGGTAGTCAACAGGAAACCCTGAACCCGGATTTCATGCTAATTGGCAGTCGTCAGTAAGGTGTACCTGCAATCTTGAGGGAACTCGTGCTCCCTCAACTTGGTCGATAGCATTCGGTCTAAACTAAGAAGGACTTGAAACACATGATATTGATCGCCGCCCAGTGATCAATCAATTGTGATTACAACTCAGTCCTACAGGAAGTCGGTCGCGGCGCGGACAGCCCAGTGGTAACGTCTCTAACTGTGAAGCTGGGTGACACAGGATCGGATCCGTCAGGGAGCACCAGTTCTTTCAAGATTACAGGTACACCTTACTGACGAGTGCCATGTAGCACGAAACCCAGGTTCAGAGTTTCCTGTTGACTACCTCCAACCACCACCTTATTTAAAATTCAATCGCTCAGATTTTACGAATTGATTCTTTCTCTTTAAATTGGTGTCCAAATACTATGGAACTATTCATTCAGATTTAGACGAAAGTTCTTATATAATAACTTAATCAGTAGATAAAGTCATCTTGAAAAGTTGTGTCAATGGATTTAGACTTTGATGTTGTAAAGAAAAACACATTCTTCTATTGAATTATTGGGATTGATTATCTGTATGAGTTAGAGTGAGAATAAATAAAGAAGTGATACGATACATTTGAATTAGTTAAGATTAAGGTAGTAATACTTGAGGTTTTGCATGGAATTAAAAATAAAACGATTCTAACTATCATGAACTTAGTAGATGAAGTTATGACCTAATGTTTTATTCAAACGACTTACAACTAACTGAATGCTCAAGTTTTGAACCCTGTTCTACTTACTATGTTTAACTCTCCTGTAGAGTAATTACTGCCTTAATGCTGAGTATGTGGCAAATCATTTGTATAGAGATGTACATCATATATGCAACTTTGTTGGGGCCTAGAGTTGACAAGAATCTGTTGTACTGTCATAGAATGGAAATGACAGTGCATAGAACTCAAAAATATATGATTACTCGTTTTGATGCAAATTATATTCATAATTGGTTCCTCCGTTTGTTCACAGTAAATACTTAAACAGATCACGTGATTCGGATTGATTGGCCCTTGAGTCGTTACCAATGTCATATATGTCAAGTCCCTCTTAGTATTATTCAAACTGCATCGATCAGGTTGCAGTATGACCACTAGTACAAGTGATTCAACATCGTGTGCACTATGTTAAGATTTTAATTGGTTGGAAGCAGTCGGCAGGAAACTCTGAACATAGGTTTGATGCCTACTGGCACTCGCCAATGGGTTATGTCTCCAGTCTTAGAAGAAGCGATGCTACCTGTGAAATTTGAACTTTTGTCACACAGCTTCACAGTGTGAGAAGTTTGGTAGAAAGGATTCAGCCAGAACTAAGAATTCGACAACTATATGATTGATCAATACTGAGTGATAAATTAACGTAAACATTTAAATCCTGCAGGAGATCCGTCGTGGACAAGATAGCTCAATGTAACGTTTCAGATAATGAAACCGAAATCTTTTTGCCATTCAGATTAACGAGTTTCTGTCATAAAATTTCTTTGATTTCGCGATTAAAAAACAGATTAAAAACTGAAATAAATTTGTAAACTACATGAAACTCTCTGTATACACATAAATTTCGTTAACATTTGTCATGAAAGATTATTGGCTAATAAATGATATTTGAACTGTTGCTAATCTCGTCCATGATCCCTGATTTAGCATAGTTTTACCAAATAAACCAATCAAAAGTATTAACCCTAAGCTTTTTGAAAAGCATGTGTATATAGGGAATAAGAACTTGAAGATATATGTAAGTTGAAAGACACCTTTCTGTCTAAAACTAGAATTCAACGGGGATTAACCTAACGATGCCCTAGATGAAAAATTCGTAAGAACATTTTAAATGACTCTAAAACCATCGAACTGTATTTCTTTTGATATACAGTGGCCTAGAGTTTAAGAGTTCTTGTGTGAGAAAGGAGTTTCTGGGCTGTATTCTGGAATGTGGGGTAGTGGAAAAGCAATTTCAAAGAGCCTAATACTAGGATGGAACGGTATTTCAGTGCTTATAGGTATTTATAGGTGGCCTAGTTAAAATCAGTTCTTGCTTTAAACTATGATAATTAAAAACGTTCAAATATGAGTCTTTAAATTAAGTTTTCTGTTCACTAAAATTATGGCCACTAAGTATTATTGACCCTAAGTTAAATATTTTCATACCGAATTTCGCCATATTCGTAGAATAATAAAAATTTTCCATGTCAATTATCAGTGTGTAGTACAGTGAAAACTACATAGTTTATTGTTTTCGTGCTCTGTTCTTGAATGTAACCATTCTCAGTTCTTATATAACACATTTTTAGGAATTGTGCTAAATTCTCACCAGTTCAATACATTCGTTGAAGGGAAACAAAATTATGATAGTTTTTCATTGAACTCCTGAACAGGTTTAAGTTAGACCCCAATTGAAAACCTAGAAGCATTGGATGGTCGTTTTATCTTAGTATGAAATTCCTTGGCAGTGTTGATTAACGACCTCGTACTCGTGAATCGAACCCATGACCTTCGGTTTTGCGCGCAGAACTTCATATATGTTTATCTATTCAATTTATCCTATGGATCCAGTTAGAAAAGTCATACGATTCATGAAGCATGCCATCGTACTGACTAACACCATCTGGCTTGTCTGAATAAAGAAAAGTTAAAGTTGATTAAATATTCTATCCTCATTTACTTGATTTACTCAAGGAGTGAAGTTGAATTGAACAAAGGTATTCAAGTTATTCAGTGTATTCTATCGAATTTTCCGTAGGATTAACATTTCTTTCGGGTAGTTTTGAAGTTACCGGAATCCATGCTCATATATCTAAACTTGTAACTCAAAACAAGTCCGTTCAGTTGCTCTCTCTAACTTGTCCCTAGACACACCAGAATGGATTAAAAAGGAATTTCGATTCCCATAATTTTTCTAAAACCAATTTTCCAAAAAATCTGCCAAAAACTTTTTTAGATTTTATCTTTGTGTTTCTATACAATTTGAATAATGGTCTCTGAATTCTTATGTAACTATTTTAAAATTAACTTATCAACAAAATACTTTGTTGTTACATAAATAACAATACCACTTGATTGATATTAGTTTCATAATTGTTGTTAAGATCATATATTTTGCATAGGCGGATTTTTGGAGATTGTAGAATTTGCATAGTGTAAATCACAATCTAATCTGAGTAAGACCGTCATTGAAAACTTGGAAACACTGGATAACCGTTTCATTCTGGTATAGGACATTTCGACAGTGCCCATCCACAACCTAACTACAGAAGATCGAGCTTAAGACCTCCGATCTTGCACGTGAGCTCTTAACCACTGAATCACTGAGCCAGAATCCAGTGGTGCCGATGTCGAACTGCAATCAATTCACAATATTATGCTACCATCCCCATTACCTGTGATGGATAACTGTTTCATGCTTCTCACCAGTCGTTTTCAACCTGATGTATTAGTCCGTGATCCAAACTATTATTAAACATACATACTGGTCATATTGGAAAACTAATCAATTCACCTCAAAAATGTAAGTCTTCAACTGAATCACTGGCGGCAAATTTAAATCTTTCAAATGTATTTTGTTCTCTTTAATAGATCGATCCAAAGTTGTTGAAACATTGAACTCACCTTCTGATGAAAATAATGAATGGTCTCATATGAATCCAGCTATGTCTTACGATGAGAAACAGAATGTTCCAAAACATGCTGCTCGTAGTTCTTTGTATAAAGTAAATGAAAATAAGAATACTTCTGGAATTCCATTTACAAATGACAATAACAGACGAGGTAATCTGTTTTATGTGAAGAGGTATCATTTTGAATTAAATATTCAAACATTGATGGCTTATTATTAGTGTACTTCAAGGTACTTTAGGATATATTAACTTGGTCCATTAATACTGATTGATTACTGAATAGTGACGAGTATGTGCTAAACAGATTGTTATCAATCAGGCTGTGATCTGGAAACTAGTTTTATGGTGTGTGTTACTGACGTCAACAGATATAAATAGTATGTATCGTCAATCGAAAGTGAAATGCCTGGTGACAGAAGGTTAAGAAGATTGAAGGAAAAAGAACGAGAACAGAGAATAATTGATGTGGAAACGAAAGAACATTGAAATCTGAGACGATTGATTGACATTTTGCAGAAGAAACAGTCAAGCTTGAGACAGTTGACTGACACTTTGCAAATGAAGAATTTACTATATGGTTCTCAGATTTTACAAAAAAATTCTGTAATTTTAACACCAGATTTCGGTTAGTACTATGAACTAGGCTAACTTAAAATTTGATTACTACTCACGAGGTCAGCCATATTATGATAAGCTTAATGATAGTTCCTTGGATTCTAAAGGGAGATAACCCGGCTCTGGATCCTATAGATGATATCTATTCCCTTAATGTTGCAGATACACGTTGCTGACGAGTTCAGGATAACTAAAAATATAATTCCCGTATCTTACTGTCGACCATATAATTGACTAAACTGACATTTGTGAAGCAAATGGTTCCTACTAAATAACCTCATATTAACGTGATTCTCCTGTGAGTAGTCCGATTCCGTATCTATATTGTTATAACTGAACATGAATAATGAGTCACAAATAAGAAAAATACAGTTATCTAAAGCTTCCTAGTTTTAGCGGTTTTTTACAAGATTATTTCACCATGAAACCTATCTTCAAAATTGCTTTTCCTTCTTGACTTCCATTATAAGCCATCTCAACATTAAACATCAGATGTATTACACATTATGCAAAGATAACTTTAAAAAAAAATTAAATTACGTTCTATGAGATAAGTAGCCTAGTCATGAAACTCTCATTATGTTACTTAGCAAAATTATCGCTATAAATTTTAGGTAGAAATCAGCTTTAATAATTTCATCATAAGTGACACTAACAGCTTATTCTATCAGTTATGAATTTAATAGAACGAAATGGCCATCCAGTGTTTCTGGGTTTTCAATGAATGTTCGAAAGTTAACCATACTCATTATAATAAAAAGAATAGAAGCACAAAGAGTATTAATAAACATAGTTAAAATCGATGTTTATATTTATGTTGGGAAATAGTAACGTATAATAGGATAGGTGTTATAGCTAATAGTAATCATAATCAAGATAAGGAAGTAAAATCGAACACTTGACGTTGTGTAAGGAAACTGATTGAGCAATACAGGAGCTTATTTTCAATGCCAACTTAATTCTTCAGTCGAGTCTTCCTGAAACCTAACCTTCCGTGAGCAGAACTTGGGTAAGGAAAGATTTTTCCCAGACAGTTGGTCGTTTAAAATTATAACTATATTAAAGATTATTTTGGCTAAGGATCTTTTAACTGTTCTAACTAAAGATCATTTTCTGCTGTTCGCTTTTTTCCATCACTCATTAATGTTGACAATGTTGATAATTTTGATTTTGATTATTACCCTGAAGAAGTCCAGACAAGTTAGCTGGACGAAACGTTGGAATTAATTAAATTTCAATCGCTGAGAATATTTCAAATATAATTTTCACATATAATGACTTCTCTATACTCGGCGCTCAATTACTGTCAAACTATTCGTTCTAATCTTGACGAATATTCGTATAAAGTTGACATAACGTTGTTTTCCAAGGGTGCAGTGAAAAATATTTATTGACATTTTATCTACTTATAAATTAATTAAGTAGATAAAATAATTTACGAATTTTCACATTATCATCAAATTTCACGATTAATTTCTGTATCAATACCCCACTTTCCTTCTGTTTCTATGCATTTAAAAGTTGACAATACTCATATTCCATATGAACCACCAACATATTGTCGAGCACATATTACATCTGAAAATATGGATATGGAATGTCAATATAAAGAGGGTCATTTAGACAGGAATTATATACACACCAGTTGGAATTGTTTTGTGAATACTTCACAAGTAAGTTAATATATATATAATTGTTATACGCTTGTGACAACTGTTGATTAGAAAAATAGTTTTAATAGTACACTTCATGGTGTAACATATTTGCTAATAAATGAACAGAGTAAAATGGTTTAATAGCTAATTGCTGACAACAAAATGTTAAGCTAATGTAATATGAATTCACTTGCCATTGTTTACTTGAATTTTCCCATCGATGTTTAGGATTGAAGTTGATCAGTCTATTATTGGCATATGTGCATACTGTGCGTATTGCCTCGATATTGTCTTAATTCACAAGCATTATGAGCATTATAGTGGCTAGCAGTGGAATCCAGGACGCGCGTTTCGTCCTGAATGTAGATAATGTTGCAATACGAGGTTAATTTTTATCCACAAAATACTCTTGACAGTGCTCTGAACCAGATCAATTATATTCAGATCCATTCTAGATCAAGACTAGGTGTTTCTTGTAAATTAGCTTTCACACTACGTCATACTCACTGTATGAGTGACTAAAACATATGTTTAGTAATTTTAAATAGTTTAGAAAGTATGTACAGACAATTTTTACTTAATTTTCAATAAGATACATTGAATTTCACTCAAAAATCCTGTAGGCGCTATCTTAGATCTGATTCTTTCAATCAATCTCTTCAGCATAGTTAGGACAACCAATAACAGGTATAATAGCTGTCCAGTATAACACTTCAGTGGATAACATGTTCAAGTTTGTGTCAAACGTCACTTGGTTTGAGTTCCACTGTAAGCATTGACACTATAATGCAGATATATCCAGATGACAAATCTTATATAAGATTAGACATACGTCCTGAATTCTATTATTGTTCACACAACACATAATAAAACGTATGATGTAAAGCTTTATGGAGAAGTCTCACTCAGGATGAACATATAACATTTGAGAATGAACAAATGAGATCCTCAACACTAACAAAGAGATATTACAAAGCTTAACTAATATTCAACATCGTCACTTGCAGTTAACTCTTAAATTTCTCATATAAATATATCTCTACTCTCATTTGAACCCAGGATGTTCCACTTTCATTTCGAATTCCATTTGTTTGTCAATAAAACTTAATCCTCGTCATTATTTTTTACCGTATGCTGTTTATTACCAATTTTGTAAAGCAGCATAAATGTTACTGAGTTTTTTTTAATTCTTTTCTTGTGATACATTTGAACAGATTCAATACTTGCCCATACCGGAAGCAAAAATGGAACAAATATCTGAAAAGTAAGTTCATAATGAGTATATGTCATGTTTGTCTAGTGTAAATCCAATACATGCAGTTAACTAAAGATAAATAAAATATAGTTGAAGTTATAATTTAATATGCCCCCAAATGCCCTTGTATGGCCAAGGGTGGGGAGAGTTAGCTCTTCCCGTCGAAATACTCTCACATGGCCACGCATATACAGCCACTGACAGGGAAGTCCTACTCACTGCCTTCTCGAGTCATTACTGTTGTTTACGAAATTAAGAGGACGAAAAGCGAATGTCCGGTGCTTTAACCGAGTTGGTGAATATGGAGGATCCACCTAGAGGAGTTGGAGAACCCTGATTTCAATCCATTGTTGCACATGGGCTGGCTCCAGGATCCTGAGAGAATAAATGGCGTATGATCCAATTATTGGTCACTGGCTACCATGAGACTGCATCTGCTGACGTTTCTCTATTGCTTTGTGGATCAGACCTTCTGGTCAAATGCTCGGGTTGTAGCCCCTTAAGAAAACCACCTGATTCGGTCTGGGCACACGGGGAATATCACATGATCAAGCCAAAAAGTGGCTAGGAACGTGGGAGATTGTAATCAACAAACTGAACATAACTTAAAAACAGTTAATCGCATTATAATAATCTATAGATCGAAATGAAACTTATAATGGGAGGAATATAGATTTATACAATCTAAATACTGAACAGTTATACCATAAGAATACATAGATAATATTAGCCCATTAATAGTTCTCGGAAGTTACCAGTAATTAAGTGTTCACTAAGATATAACGCTTACTATAAATGTTCACATACATATTCAAACCCAATACCTTACTCTTATTTATTGTGGTGTGTGAACTAGAATGATAATGATTGGTTGTTTGTTTAGTCAAACTAGTAGATAGTCTAAGATGGTGGTTGGAGGTAGTCAACAGGAAACCCTGGACCCGGGTTTCGTGCTATATGGCACTCGTCAGGGAGCACCAGTTCCCTCAAGATTGCAGGTACACTTTACTGACGAGTGCCAAATAGCATGAAATCCGCCTTCAGGGTTTCCTGTTGACTACCTCCAACCACCATCTTGTCTTAGCATAGTGCATGCAATATCGAGTCACCTAGACTAGTGGCCACATTGCAACTTGGTCGATAGCATTCGATCTGAACTAAGAAGGACTTGACATACATGACATTGATCATCACCCAGTGATCAATCAATCGTAAATAGTAGATAATCTAATAGGTGACAAGATGAGTTATATATTCTTCTATCCTATTTATTATTTTGATTGTTGTCGGGTTGTGGTGTAGAAATATATTTAAGTTCTAGTCAGGCTAATCACGTGTTCTTGTGTTGAAGTCCTGTAGAATAGACACCGGAAGAGAATCTAATGTAGATATTTGTCTAAGGCAACTTGGCGTCCCATTTATGTAAATGATGAAACCCGAGTGCTATAACATAATATACTTTGCAATACTCCTTTTTTTATAATAATAATATCCGATTCATCCATCAATCCTTCTTTCTATTTATTTTTCTCTTTGTTATTAGAGCTCATCAAAAAATACATCGTGGTCTACGTGAAGCATGTTTAGCTATAGGGATTGTATTTTCAACAATATGTTTATTTTGTATTGAATTATTACGTATGATCACATTAACTTTATTGAAACCATTTTTACAATATTTACGTTTTTTATTACATATTATTATTAATTGTTTTTGTGATATCAGTTATATATGTAGTGCACATTGGGAAAGGTTTATTTATCCAATCATTAGTTCATGGGCTACATATTCACAAGATGTAATTGTTCCTGTAATACGTGAATTTCGTCCAATTCAAATTAATATACAATCAAAACCAATAGCAAATCATACAATACAACAATGTTAATTGAATATTAATAATAATAATAATAATAATAATAATAATAATAATAATAATAATAATAATAATAATAATGTGAACAATAACTGAAATAGGTTTTCTCGCCCCCCCCCCTCATTTTTCTCTCTTTTTAGTTAGTTTTACTTTTCCCTAGCAACAAAAAAAAGTTTTTTTAATGAAAAAAACAACATAAAAATCTAATATTTCATATTTTTTAAAAATTAGTTTGAAGTGTGATATATTGATTTAATTTTTTTTTATTTGAAAAGGAGGGGGAAGAATTGTGAAAAGTAAATTTCTTTTGTTTTTCTTTTTTTGAAAAAGATTTTATTATCAGGAAGGGGGTTTTTATAAATTTTAATAGTTGAATTCATGAGTTGATTAAAGCTAGATCAGCATTGAAAAACTAGAATTACTGGATGGACTTTAACTGACTCATGAATTTAACTATTAAATTATTGCGATCTACAGAAAAAACCCCTTCCTGATAATAATCATTATGTACTCACTAGTGATTGGCTTCAAGAGTCATTTCCTGGAGTTCTAGTGAGAAGCAGTGACCAGTGGAGTTCAACTGGGTCTGTTGTCAGGCAGTAACTCACTGAAGACAGTGATAGACGGTGGCACAATATCATAGATTGGTTGAAGTTAGACATTAACACCATTGGATGCCAACTCAATGGTCCAGAGGTTAAGCGTTCGCACGCGAGACCAATAAGTCCTGGGTTGGAATCCCGCGTGTGTGATCGTAGATGCGCTGCTGAGGAGTTCCAGACTAGGACGAAACGGCCATCCAGTGCTTCCAGATTTTCTAAGGTGGTTTGGCTTTAGTGGACTCATGAATTCAACTATGAAATTACTATAATATCCAAAAAACCTCTTCTGATTATAAAAAGTTGTGTTTCACTGTATCGTCCAGTTACGACATACACTTCGCATGGTAGGCTATATAAATGAGAAAACTAAAGTGAGTAATAGGAAAGTTCAATTGTCAAATTGAATTATGACGTTACAAAAATCAAGTATATTTTTCGTTATCTTTCAAACTCAAACAACGACTTGTAGACTGTAACCATGAAGTGATGCATAATAGATCTCCTCTAATAGCTTAATCCTGAGGTTGTATATGAGTACAGCTATATGATATATCTATGCTCATCCAGTCTACATCTCAGTCTGTTCAGTAAATACATGAACTGAATTCATAAAACATTATTGTTACAAAATATTTGGATATATCAATTGATTCCCAGTTCCTTGTTAATCGTTATAAACATTTTCGAAATCCCTTAAAAGTCAAGCTATACATAATCGCTTCATGTCTTATTGCCTTCCTATTGTGTTAGATGAATTTGGATTTTGTAATCAAAAAGAAGTAATAAATATCGGAAACGAATATATTTAGTCAGAATAAGAAGGTAAAAAGAACAGATTAGACAGAAATGTAGAAAAAACTAACCAACTTATTTCCATAGTTTCCTTTATTAAGAATAATAGGCGTGTGAAAACAGAACACTGAAGCAAGATAATTGTTCCTTTAAGTATAAAGTAATCTCATAGCTAATGATGTCCTATTCAAAATCTCAGGATTTTCCAGTAATTATGTTACGTAATTTAAATTGCTCTGTTAAACTTCTCACTCCACATACAACCTTAGCGACGGTTGTAACCAGGATCTTCTGGTCTCACTATAAACGCTTAGCCTTTAAACGACTTAGTGAATAATCAATTGTTAACATTAATAACTCCAGTTAATTCACAATATTGTACAACCACCTTATATTGTTTTCGTTAAGTAAATATCTTATATCTAACACGGTTAAAATTTATTAGTCAAAGCTTTTTACTAGAACTCAGGAAACCACCTCTCACTAAGAAGTACATCATAATCATTAGTGTAAGGGATACTATGGAAACTGTTGTTCACGTAAAACATTAGTTCTGTTGTAAAATTAATTTTTCTGAATTGTAGACTCTTTATTAATAGTACATAGTTTTAGCTTCCACTCGAGGTCGTTCCTAGAGTTCAAACCCGCGTTTGAAAGATTAAGCATTCTCTATGAGGCATGAAGAACTTAGGTTCAATCCTTTTTTAAGATCATGCATGAACAGTGCTATGAGCTCCATACTAGAAGAAAATGGCTGTTCGGTATTTTCTGGTTTTCAGTGACTATCTAAATGCAATTAGGTTTTGTTGTAAACTATAAAATTCAACAATCTATGAAAAACCCTTAAACACAAATATGTGTACTGAAGATTGTTGTATCCCGATGAGAATAATGAATGGTAACTGTTATAATCCATTTGCAGACTAATACTATACATATATTTTTATCGTATAGTTTTTAAATAGCTAAACTATTCATATTCGTGTTTTTTTTATCATTAGCTTTATTTTGACATATGAACTATTATTATATGATTTACCATTCTCGAGTTATGCCCAGTCTATTAATTGCAGTCTCCCACATTCACAGCCACTTTTGGCTAAATCTTGTACAAATGTTATTTTCTCTTTTATGGTACGATGTGGTCTGGTTGGTTTGTATATAAACCCAGTATGGTTGAAATACATGATTCATGTCGTGGAGGCTGAGATTTGTGTTCTGGATTCAACAGGCAAGGCTAGGCAGGAAGAAGGACTAATAAAGACTGTAAACTGCTCGGACGGGTTTTATGCGTCATTGTTTCAGTCGATAATCCACTTTTCTCTAATTGGCGGTATCATTACGTCATACAGTGATGGGGCACAAGGCCATGAGATATAACACTATATCCATTACTGTTGTTTACCGACAAATCTTACTTTATACTTAGTTTTAACAATATCATCTTGTTATCATTCCTGGAATGTAACTCAAACACGAAGGTTTACGAGAGATGATTTTGTTTTGGTGAATAGTGTACTTCATTACAATATCTTCCTCTCATACTTTCACTTTATTTACCATTAGGCTTTGACCGTTGTATTATCCTTGTAAGTATTAATAATAATCGGAATATTAACGAAATAGTCAATTGGCATTTTTAATTGGGAAAAAATATGCTGAGATTAATTCAATTTAGATCTTTCTATTAGATATAGTACAATAAAGAACAAAGATTCCTCCATATGAGCAAATGACTGTTAAAAAATTTAAGTGAATATATTCTCGTTACTTTGATCAAACATAGTAGAACAGAGAAGTAGGTTGTTATGTTGTAAGATCGTTGAACGTGCCAAATCACCACTCAGATTCCTAATTCGAGTTTGAACTATTTCACGTCTACTATTTCCTCCACAGTATATAATGTCCTCAAACTGACCAATTACGTGCCCGACTTTCTCTATTGACCCTTAAAAGACAGCTAATTTCCTATTGGTGCGCCATCTGAAAGCTCCTCTCTATCCCATGAATTGAGTTCAGAAGTAGTAACCAGCCTCTATTAAATCTATACTTCAAAGAGACGTGATTTATATACAGATATATCGTCAAACCATAGAATAAAAAATGACTAATATGCACGAACAGGCTCAAAGTGGTTGTGACTTTAGGTGACTATAGGGAATCGACTGACAACAAATTAGGAATATTAAGTTGTAATGATAGTAGTTTATGGGTTAACCGAAAGCTTATAATAAATGAAATACATAGACCTAGTAATCTAGTTACTTAATAAGCATATAATAAGAATATATAATAATAATAATAATCCATACACTAGTTCTGTGAGTTATCATTCCTTCAATCTTCGTTCTGACATAATGTAAGCCCATGAACGTATAAGTCGGCTTTGACAACTCCAAATTAGACAAATTAAATTTTTAAAATAACTAAGGCTTTAAGAAAAGACAATGATCACTATAGGGGGCATTGAATTATGAGTAAATGAGAATCTTTCACCACATAATGATTGGAACGCTACGAGATACAATGTATTCAAGAATAAGTTCTCCGTTTCTGTGATAACGTTAGAAAAGACAGAGCTTGTACATGGTACGTTACTCTTCTCCATAATTTGAATAAAATATACTCTGTCGACAAATACTGACATTTTATAACAACTTTAAGACATAACTAACCAATTATATCGAGCTTAAAACTAGCCATTTAATTGGACGAAACGGGATGAAAAATATTGGAAAATGGGATAAAAAAGCATTTTTAAACGGGTAAAAAAAATTATTACAAAAATTACAAAAATGGCCAGTTGTTTAATGACATTCAATTATATGTACGTAGTTGTTACGAAATATTCACGTTTCTAATTTATCTACTGACAATTTACAAGTAGCTAAATAGTTTTTAAACAATTTCTGCTCAGGGTTAGTCGATACGTAATTCATTTGTTGTCAAAAGTGGTAATAATAATAATAATAATAATAATAATAATAATAATAATAATAATAATAATAATAATAATAATAATAATACCAAACTTATTCGAAAATCAAGGCAGATGTACATATAAACATACTTTTCTATAATGAAATAGAGGTGACTAGAAATGTGTATATAGGTAAATAAATAGTAGTTAGGATAACTGCTAGGATAGAGATAATGTGACAGACATATGGATATATCTGGACAGTTCGTTATTAGAAATAAATAAAAACAGGTTAGAATCGAACTAGAATTCTTTCCTATTTTGTTTTTTTTTTATTATTGTCATCTGTTAAATGCATTTAATAATTGAAGAAGAAAAAAAGTAGAGAAAAAGAAGAAGAAGACGATGACTATGGAAATATAACAGTATCTCATTTAGTTGTTTCATCATAAATAAAACTATACTGTTTAGAATGAATAATATTTTATTTGTGCACTTGTTATGTTTGTTAGTCTTTTGTTGTTTTCACTAAAGAAGAAGAAGAAGAAGAAGAAGAAAAAGAAAATCACAAGTTGACCTGGAAGAAATTCATATTTTAAATTTTAATTTATTTTAAAGATTCAAGTATTTTGTTAAATCAGCAGATAGGTATTTTGGTTGAAGGAGATTTATAACGATTAATTTTATATGTAGGCTATACTCGTTGAGATACTAGTAGGAACTAGTGGA